GGGGCAAACACTGCTGGATGAGGATCGTAGTTCTCAAGCACGGAATGGTACGTGGCTCTTTGCTCATTCTGGGTTCTAACTTGTTTTTTTGGAGGGTGGGGTGATGTCTATTGATTGATCCTGGTGGGGCGGGAGAGTGAGCTTGGGGTGGGGAGAGATGGGGTAGAAAGCAGGTTAATGAAGTGAAGTACCTCTGAGGCAGGAAGCCACTAGCCTCTCCCTCGGTGCCCAGCATCTCTCCACAGACTTGGGCGTGTGGAAACATTTCTGTTTGGTGTAAGGGTTGGCAAAGACTGGGAGGGAGCATTCTTATTGTGACCAGGGTTTTTTTAGACCAATGCAGAGCTAGAGAGTGAGAGAGAGAGAGAGAGAGAGAAAAAGAGAGAGAGAGAGAGTCTCTGTTCTTGTTAGAAGTGCTGACCTCAGTCCCATATCTCAGAAATGCTCTGGGTTCCTGAAAAAAAGAAAAAAAATCATGTCTTTAAGTATGCATTTATGTTTATATCCTGAAAGGTGTGAAAAATACATATTTTGGGATATGTTTATATATTTTGGTAGGGAGTGGGGTTTATATATATTTAGTCACAAAACTAATGGCATTACTTTTGCTGAGACACTCTAGACCAAATTTGGTCTGGAGAAAGGAACACAGACTAGGGGTCATATTAGAGATGAGAGGAAACACTGGCACTGCAGTCTCATAGGTGGGGGTCCCTTTAAGAAAGTGATCTCCTAGTCAGAGCAGGCAGCCTATTTTTTTTTTTTTTAATGGCATGGTTCCCAGGTATTCGGTGTTGGGATACTGTGTCCCCTGGAAATGTCAGACCTCTTTTGAAAAAAAAAAAAAAAAAAGATAAATCATCAGAAATGAGCACAGCGATATATTTATCAGAATTGATGCATTTGTATCTGCAGCAAAAATAAATGCATTTGTATCTGCAGCAAAATAAAAGTATATCAAGGTTAGAGATAATTCAAGAAAATTGCATGTATATATGTATATATACCCGTATACATATATATCCTACATTAAAATCTAAAGATTAAGTCTTAGATTTTACCACCTTAAAGACATAACTTCCAGGGTACAGCAGTGTAACCAGAAAATGAGTGCTTATCCCCATGGCAGTGCACTCTGAGGCGATCACAAGGTTGTTTACATGGACTGTCTTTGCTGCAGAGCCTGAGGGTGTCTATATAGCAGCCCCTGTTTGCTTTTGGTGTGTTCATGATAACTTTTAGGAGCAAACTGGAAAGGGGCAGGCAAAGTCATATGGGTCAAGTCATGGTTCAGATTGTAGGAAAATGGATGTAAATGACCAGGCATTGCCAGCCCAAGGTCCAATTTCTCCCTCTAGCCCTCATCTGCTTGTTGTTGGATCCTAGAATATTCCACAAAATATGTATCAATGTATTAAGAATGGTTGCAGGAGTGACAATTTCTCTTGGAGAGGCTTCTGTAAATTTTTTACTTTAGGTGGGCATATGTATTGTGAATATAGATAGTGATGCATATGAATGAGCTCACAAGCTTCTGACTCCACTTGGGAACCCTGAAATTGGATTTCAGGGGTCGGACAGTTTTGTAATGGCAGTTTTGCTGCCTCTGGTGTAGATTCTCTTCTGTACATTGATCCATTCCTAAATTTGACATAAAGTACCAGGTTAGGGTTTTGTGGTTTTTTTTTTTTTGTCACATAGAACAAACTGGACTTTCTCTCCCTTATAACAGGACTAGTAAATCAGATGACAAAGGTGGTATGACCTCAGATATTAAAGAGTCTTCATTCTTTCTCATTTATACATCCTGTTGTTGCAAAGTATCTTAAATTTGATGGGCTCCTGGTGTTACAAAATCTTCACAGTTTTGATAAAGGCATTCTTGATAATGGATGGGGCAGAAAGAAATTATATGTAGAGTGGAAAAATCAGATGCCTCCAGCTTCCTGCTTGCTTGCTCCAGAACAGCATCTGCTGTTGGGAGGAGTGTGTTTGCCATGCTGGAAGGGGATGTTTATGAACAGATCCCAAAGGGACTGAATGTGTTTTTGCTGTCATTGTCTGGTACGTCTGTAGCTATTAGTATTTAATGGTTTCATAGGATGAAGTCAATATTTTTCAAGGTTAGAATGAACTGAAAAATGATCATGGATGCTATAGAATGTATTTATAATCTAAAATTACAGGAAAATAAATAGGACTTCCCTTGTTAGTATATCCTAAGACATAAGCAAAAGGAATCTGCTTAACTTAATGTGAAAAAGCCCTCCATGTTTAAAGGCAAAGTCTCCCATATTGAAAGGATTATTTAAAAAGTTTTGCTGTGGGTTTATGTAAATTAATTTATTCTTTGGATATAATCCTAATAAAAAAGTCTTCTAATGCTGAAGATAAAAGACAAAGACATATTGTGTTTTTTTTTTCCCTTATTTGTTCAACATGGTGTTGGGGAAAGAATGGGACAGGTTAGTCTCCCTTTCTGTCCCAGTTTTGACTTTAGCTCACATTTGTAGCTAAGGGACTTTCCCTGGAATTGGTGTGTTCAATTTAATGACTGCTTAGTTACTTACGAGAATAATGGATTCAAAGCAGAGAAACTTCCTTCAATTAGAATAAGAGGTAAACAAATTGATATTTTAAATTTTTTCTCCATTATCCCTACTGTTTTCTCCTATAATCTCAATTAAGGTTTTGGTTGGACATTGCAACACTTATTCAAAAAGAGGTACAAAGTGTCCAATAATGACACAAATGAATACAAAGCTGTGTTTGCTACTAGCAGGTATCTCTTTCTTATCGCACATGTGTCTCTTATTTCTTCCTCTGTGGACCAAGGACTTGTGGGAAAAGTTAAGCTTATGGACTAGGGGGGGGAGAGAGATTTATTGGTAGAGAAGAAATCCATTTGATTTTTGGCATATTAGATGTATTTATTGCATTACATAAGTCTAAGATGAGATGCTGCTGCTGATTTAAAAAAAGGTAATGCTGCGCAGTGGTTGTTTGAAAAAAACAAAAAGAAAGTGTAATTTATAAATGAAGCTTGAATTTTCAGAAATTAAGTCAGCTTTTCAAAGCAAAGTTGTAAGCTTTTGACTAAAGATTTTTCAGTTTGAGTGTAATTTATCCTTATGAGACTATCAAGACAAAGATAGGGGGAAAGTGAAAAATCTGTATGTCTTAAGTGCTATTCCCCTTCTCTGTTTAATGGCGGGAAGCTTCATTTCGCATTGAGAAACTTGGTAGAAATTCTAATGGAAACCTTAAATCTAAACTGAAAATCCTCAAATAGAAAGAAATGTTTCAGGTTTCAAAAAGTGGCCCTCAAATTTATGATTATTTATGATAATGGATTTTCTAGTGGAAGTTTTGGATGCCTAACACTACAAAACACTACAGCGTTGCTCATTTTTAAAAATCTTTGGTGGCAATTAGAAGTAAAACCTATAAAGTTAAAGAACTGATGCTCCTATGAATGGAAATTCAAAATTTGAATGGAAAAAAGAAATGACTGAAACTTCCTTAGACTGAAACATTCTTAACTCACAGTGGACTTGAAACACTGTATGGTGTCAGCTGTAAAGTTACCCTCTTGCAGAGTGATCTGTCTGGTAATGAATAAGATTTTTGTTACTATGTATGTGTGTGGGTGGGGGGGATGTAGGGGGATCGGTGGGTGTGTTTGCACACATGTGTGTTAGAAAGTCACTAAAAACAACCCAAACTCTTTCAAATACTAAAGATTCATTTGAGTTTCTTGTTTGAGCATTGTGTATGAATTGTTCTCTTCTCTTACATTGGAAATAAAATCAGAAAGTATTGATGGGCAGTTAAGCTCTTAGGTCCTCTTGGGGGGTGGATATTTATTCATTCATTGCACATCATAGCACTTATGCAATATAGTAATTACCTGTTCCTATGTTACCTGTATTCTCTACCAAAATATAATTTTTGTAAGGGACTGACTGTGTCTGGCATGTCTAGGGACACAATAAATATTCCTTGAATGAAGGTCTACCATGCACAGAATTCTCTGCTAAGTGCTGTGAGTGAGAGAGGTTGGGAAACCATGCCACAGTTTCTGCCATTTGGCAACTCAGTCATTTACGGAGAGCAGGTGAAATAATTGAGATCACATATGATCAAGGGCCCACTTTAATGTTTTCACAATAAATGCAATAGGAATTCTGAAGAGGAAGAAATTCTTCTCTGGTGAAATGGCAATCCATGGCACTTGTGGCCACGTTGAGTTGGCTGGCACAGAGGGGAATAGTCGGGGAAGAGTTCCTAGCAGCAGATGAAAGCAGCTAGCCAGTAAGGGGACTCTTATTTGGAGCACAGAGGAAGTTTATTTTGGATATAGTGACCATACTTTTCAAACTAGATATTACAACTTAGGGTTTAATGATAGGTAGGGCATTGGAAACCACACATGTCTAGAGAATCTGGTTCAATATAATGTGGAAAAGTAATAGCAACAATAATGGATTGAAATTGCAATCCTACTTTTGTAACTAAATCAGATTAAGGAAAAATATACATGTAGGCCCCTTTCTAGTTTCACACTGACTTCATCTTAAGTTGATTTTATTTCAAATACTTCAGAGTATTTTGAACCTCTCCTCTTCCTTTCATCAGTACTTGTGTAACCCATTGTTCTGATGATTTTCTGTGAAAAGCTGAAATGCTAACATATGTACCAATGGCGCTGTCCCAGTTGAAGCTAAAAAGCAAGCCTTGTATCACAAACCAAATACATCAACCAAAGTAACGGTTACTATGCGCAGATATTAAAATATCCAGCTACTCTAATCTTGGTGACACCAAGGATCTTGTGCTTGTGGTAAATTTGGATAGGGTGAGCTCCCTTGAGATGTTTCATTTCCAACCTCTGAGTCCCATCGCCAATTGTCTTTGTCAGTTCTTTGGTCTTGTTAATGCAAGTGAAATTCCCATTTAAATGTTAAAATCAAACTCAGTGTTTTTTGCTTTGGTTTCAGGCTAGTGTGAGAAACACCAGCAGTAGGACCAGCTCAGATCTTCAGTATGGCAAAGCATGCAAGAAGCTGTTGAATTAGACCCATTTCCTATAGATGAGAAACCATATAAGCAGTGGTGAGTTGCACATTTTAAAATGTTCCTTAGCAAGAAATGTGTGATCTATAATCAGTTTAAATATGCACATGGTTCAGTGTATGGATCTAAAAAATATTGGTACAAATAATGTGAATTAAAAAATTGAAATAGCACAAAATGTTTAACTGATGATGCAGGGCTACTAAGGCCATATACATAGCAAGAGTTCTCAAGGTACATGGGTGTACCATATAACGTGATATTGCCACCATGAATGATAGCATCCTGTGTAAGATGGCTGTGGTAAACAATTTCAGTTGACTGAGTAGCAGTTGAATAACAGTATTTTCCAGTGGTTATTATTTGCAACAGAATTCTCTATTTTACTGATTCTTTCCCTCCAGTAGAAGAATTGGTTCTCATCTGCACTATAATGTTCAATTCCTTTCAGGAATATATATGTACACACATACAAGCATGCATGCATACCTATATGTATGAAACATGTTTATTACTATATAAGTATATATGAGTATACTTAAGAATATACAATATATATTAACATTTAGATAGTTAAAAATAGGGGAGAAAAATCATCAGTTTTATGAATCTTAATTCAATGACATTTTAGTCTATAAATTATTTTGTTTATTAGAAGCAATATTAAAAATAGAGGTAGTTGTTCTGCCTAGTTGGAATACCTTTTAAAGCATTATTGTTTTACAATAATACCAGCACTCACAGACAATATCTTTTTTAATCAAGTATTTGATGCTTTGTAGTCATCAGAGTCAATAATCAATAGACTCCAGCAGAGATGAACCAGTTATAATCTGTCAAATAACATGTTTGATAAATATAGTTTGACAGTGGTGCTTGTAAGAATCCAAAAGAAGCTGTTTTGAATGGTCAATATTTTCCTTTCATTTGCTTAGTGGTATATGTAACTGGGAAGGTAGCCTGCCCTGTGAATTCATGTATAAGCTGTATCTGCAGAATGTTGAAGAAATGAGCTCTTTATTTGTTTCACATGATTTTCACCATGGTTCACTTACAGGTATATTGAGGAAATATATATAATAGTTATTACTTTTCAGCACTTAATCAACATGGATTAAGAGTATTTATTATAAGCGGGAATCATGTAATTGCTAATAATCAACCATTTTGATGTAAAATAGAGCTATTTCATATGGCTAAATTTTGAGTTATGAGTCATTCTCAGTGATGTAGGGACATAGATTATATTGTCCTATCTTAAGAGTACATTCATTAAAGAAACATTTATTAAGAATCTGTGATATAGATGTCATCTTTAGCACCTGGGGCAGATGAAAGAGGTAGTACCAGCCTTAATAAAACTTTCAGTTTAAAGAGTGTGTTCTTATGATCTGTGTTCCATTAAGGGCACATCTAAAAAATGCAGTGCTCTTAAGGAGTGGCCCGAGGAGGCCAACAAAGTGCAGTAGAGGCGAATCCAGCAGAGATGGGTGGGTATTTGTCAAGGAAGGCTTCCTGGAGGGAATGTTATTTTAGTTCAATGCTTTTTAAAGATTTATTTATTTATGCATACAAGACCTGGGGTGCAGGCCAGAGGTACAGGGTGGTGGAGTGAGAGAATTCACCAAAGACAGTGGGGAGCATAACAGACAGATATACTGAAATACACTGCTGAGGGGAGCAGCCCGTGAGACAGGAGAGGTCTGCTGCCCCATGTGGGTCAGCTCCCTGGCTGAGGATTGAACTCTTGCTGCAGTGGCTATGGATTGCTTCATAGTGCTGTAACTTAACCCCTTGCACCACCAGGGAAGCCCCCAATCAATGTTAAGGACAACATGAGGTTAGCCAGAGGAAGAGGATCAGTGGCACATTTTTAAAGGGCCCAGGACTTGAGCGAATATGATTGTTTGGGAGGGTTAGGCTTCATTTGCCATGCTGGGGCAAAAATACAGGTGGCATTTGTAAAACTGAAGAGGAGAACAGGAGATATATCATGATAGATCTCTTAGACAAAGCTAAGAAGTTTGGATTTATTCTAAAATGAGAACTTTTGAAATATTTTAAGTAGAATTACATGATTAGATTTATTTTTAATTGTGAAATATATGCATAGGAGAGTGAATAAAATACAGTTTAAAGAAAACAAATCTCATATAAAACCAGTATTTATATTAAAGAGTAGACTCACAGTAAGCCACTCTGTTCCTTTACGATCACATTCTTCTCCTCCACTAGATGAAAGTGCTAACCACTACCCTGCCTTTTGTCACACTCATTCCTTTGCTTTCCTCTGTAGTTTAGCCATAGTAGCTTGTAACCATATTATATATACTCTTATCTGACTGAATATTTTTTTAAACATTGTGATAGAATTCCATGTTGATACTTGGAGTTTCTTTATGTAAATTGTGTAGAATTCTACTCTATACCAAAATATATAATCTATTATTGATGAAAATTAGGATATTGCTCATATATCCTGAGTTATTTAAATACATTTATTTAAAATATATTTCTGGGGGCCTCCCCTGGTGTCACAGGTGATAGAGTGCCGCACTGTGAGGCTGTCCGCAGCCTCTGCAGCACCGGTTCGATCCCGGCTGGCCGGCGAGGGTCCCACATGGTGCTACAGACCTCTCCTGCCATGCCCGCTGCTCCCCTCAGCAGTGTATTTCGTCATTCTGCCTGTTCTGTTCCCTGCTCTGTCTCTGGTGAATCCTCTCACCCTTCTGCACATCTGGCCTGCACCCCTGTTCTTGTATAAATAAATAAAATAAAAACCTTAAAAAAATATATTTCTAATATAGTTACTAAGAATATAAAATATATTTTATACATAGAGATTCTAGTATATATGTATAAAAGTTTCTGTAGGATAAATATCAAAGAAAGGAGTTACTGAGTTTTGGGATATATGTGCATTCAGTTTTTCTAACTAATATCAAAAATGTTTTCAAGTTTCATCAATTTACACTCCCAGCAGCAATATATAAGAAGCTGTATATCCTCACCAACACTTGATTTATAAGTTCTTAAAATTTTCAAATCAGGTGGGTGCATAATTGTACTCATGGAAGCATTAATTTGCATTTTGCTGATTACTAATGAAAGAGAAACATCTTTTCATTTTTTTTTTTTTCATTGGCCATTTAATTTTCCTCTTTTGTTTGTGAAGTGCCTGCTCAGGGCAATTTCTTTGTGAAATTCGTCTTTCAAAATAATAACCAACATTGAGGTCTTCGTATAGCAGGCAGTATGCTAAGCACTTTCATTTAATCTTCATGTCATCCTTATGATTTTACAGATTGTGTTACTCAGGTCTAGGAAGGTAAATAACTTGCTGATGCTCACACAGCTGAGAGAAACTGATATTCTTGAATTTCTTGTATAGTGTTTGAAAGGGGATTAGATCAGAGACAGAGAGAATATTTAAGGTGCTCTGGCAGTAATCCAGTTAAAATAATAATGACAATAACCAAGAATCACCCAATAGGACAAAAATGCATAGCAACAAGACTCAGTAATGAAAGTAGCATGTAAAGTAGAGACAGAGTTTAAAAATTCTTGAGTTTAATATCTGCTGGTTAGGTACTTTCAGTATTAACCATAGAAAGTGTATTTATACTCCAGATATTGTGGTAGGTTTTAAGAATGCATTTTATGATCCTGTGATCATAATAAGAGATTAGTTCAGAAGATCATAGAGTTTAGGGTTAATCAAAGTATTAATTTGGGTCAACTCTTTATTATTTTAAACTGTGTGACCTAGTGTGTAAAGGTTACATTTAAGTGACTTGTCCGGAATCACGTTAGTGTCAGATTGGGAACAGATACCAGCACTGCAAAGAGTGCAATGAATAGCAACTTGTCTAATGTTTAAATGACTGAGTGAAAATACAGTTAACCTACATCATCTCCTTTTTCTCAAGTTAATTTCTTCTGAATTTAATCTATTGTTACTGGCATAAATTAGACCTCATCATTGTTATCAGGTTTATTTAAAGTAGCATAACATGTTATATTCTCCCCCATTATTCTACAATTAAAGCCACCAGAATTTTTGATCTAATTTTTAGTTGTTACCACTTAACTGCCCTGCTTAGTTCAATATGCTTCACTGCCTATGCAATAAATTTATTTCTCCTTAAAATATACCATTCTTCTGTGTATCCCCATTTTAGGAATCAATGATGCCTCAAATTGTCTGGGAATAACATTGTGCTTTAGTTTTAATCACACACTCAATTGTTTCTTACCTGTGATTTCCTTCATACTGTGTCTCCCGCCTGTGTTCACCCTATCTATCCTTTTCTTAGTTAATCATTAGTCATCTTTTAAGATCTTTGCTACTCAAAGAATGGTCAGGCGTCATGTGGGAGCTTGATAGAAATGCAGGATCTCAATTCCTACCACACCAACTGACTCAGAGTTTTTCCAACAAAATTCATGTTATTTAAAGTTTGTGAGGTACTGCTGAGACTCATTAGGTGCTATATTCTTCCAAAAATCTTTCTTGACTTTCCATTAAGCATGTATTCCTGGTGTTCTTACAGTATTCTATGGATATCTATATCACCTTATTACCATGTTTTACCAGTTGTTTATGTGTCTGTTTCTTCATCTTAGCCTATGAGAAATTTGAGCCAATTTTAATAGTCATTGATTTTCCCATACTAACACAGTTTCTGATACTCAGCACTGCATAAATGTTTGTTGAAAGATAGGAACCAGGGCCTCCCTGGTGGTGCAAGGGGGTAAGATGCAGTACCATGAAGCTATCCGCAGCCACTCCAGCATGAGTTAGATTCCTAGTCAGGGAGGTGACCCACATAGCACAGCAGACCTCTCCTGTCTCACCAACTGCTCCCCTCAGCAGTGTATTTCAGTGGATCTTTCTTTTCTGCTCCCCACTCTGTCTCCGGTGAATCCTCTCACCACCCCCCCCCACCCCGCCACATCTCTGGCCTGTACCCCAGCTCTTGTGTGCATAAATAAATAAATATTAAAAAAAAAAAGAAATGAAGGCAGGAGAAAGAAAA